ATATATATATATATACAATATGATACCAATTGAACAACTTTTACATGTATAATTCAGTGGTATTCATCATGTTCTACAATGAGCACCTCTATCCATTTCCAAGTTATTTCCCTATCATTACCAGAAACTCAATGTCCCCTAAGCAGTGACTCTCACTTCCCCCTCACTGCCACCATGGAAACCACTAAAATCTTTGTTCTCTATATATATGGGGTTACTTTGAGTCAAAAATTGGTGGTGCAACAGCTGTATATATTTGCTTATTTTCATGCAACTGGGATCATTTACTATTTATCCTTTTTGTAATTGAATAGGACTGTAAACTACAAAGATGACGGTTCAACACACCAGCCACTCGGCAGGAGAAAGATGAAACTTTCTACTCCCACAAACATTTTACAGTCTCAGAAACCCTATACGAGGTCGTGATGAGTAGGATCTTACTCCACAGCACATAACATCAAGAACAACTGCGTTATCTCATTCAGCATGATTTTAAGGCACAGCCATGTTGTGATGTGCAACAAGACTTAATTTCTCTTTATGGAAGAGTCACATGCTATTGTATATATTGACCACATTTGGTTTATCTGTTGATGCATTTTTCAGTTGCTTGCACCTCTGGGCTAATGTGAAAAGCACTGCAAAAAAATCAGTGGTGTACAGATTTCTGTCCGTGTTCTGCTTTCAGTTCTTTTGGTTACATATCTATGAAGAGAATGCTGAGCCATAAGGTGTACAAGGTCGCTACGAGTCAGAACTGACTCAATGGCACATAACCACCATAGCCAAAATGGGAGTCTGGGTGTGATGGTGCAGATGGGTGCAGGACTGGGTAGTGTTTCATTCTGTTGAGCATAAAGTCACTAAGCGTAGGAACCAATGTAATGGCACCTAACAACAACAACGTAAGTAGTAACCAACTCCAACAACAACAACGAATAACGACATTGAGTGACTTTCTGTGTTTGTGTGCTGTTTGAATGTTCTTTTTGATGAAGTGTCTGTTTAAGTTCTTTTCTAGTTTTCAACTGGAATGTGTCTTCTTGTTAAGTTTCTGGGGTTCTTCATATGTTTTGGCTATTAAGCCCTTAACAGATATATGGTTACCAAAAAGTTTTCCCCAAGTAGATTGATTGTCCCTCTGCTTTGTTAATAAAGTCTTTTGATGAAGGAAAGAAAAACCAGGGCACTTTCAAAGTGAATGGGAATGCTAGTAATTATTCTAAGAAAATACACAAACCAGGACTGTCCTTATCAAGCTGAATATACAGATACCCAATTCGAGTGTCATCTTCTGACAGTCACCCACCACAAAGCTTACCATTTTATACTGACCAGCTTTTTCTTTCTCAAAGTTTGTTTACTTCTATGTCTTTAGAATAAACCAGAAATCTTTTATATAATTTGAAGCTGAACATCTTTCATTCAAAAGCCTGCCTTTCTCTCCCCAATCAAACTACCAATTTAGCCCTACAACTGTCAAGGCAACAAACCAACCAACACAGCATGTCATAAAACTTTTGGTTTTCACAACAGTATTCAAAATCTATGGAATCACCCAAGAACGAAGAAAATGATAAATTTATCAGCTGACGAATACTCCTAGAACTCACACAAAGGAAGAATAATCAAGGGCCAATGTATATTCCAAAAAGTGATTACACATGCCAGGAGTAATCTGTATCACTTCTTTGTAGGCCATAATGTACCTTGATTACAAAGAAGGGAGTTGAACAGCACGAGTCCCCAGAAAGAGATGATTTCCTAGATTTTGGTAAGGTAACACAGGTTCCTTACCAAGACACCAACAAACAATGACTTCAACTATGAGGCCAAGACTACCTTACTGCTTATGTGTCAGCAAAAGAACATATAATGTGACCACTAACCCATGGTGGATAGGTTTCAGATGAACTTCCAGATGAAGACAGACTAGTAAGAAGGAGACACGAACTACTTTCGAATATTTAGTCACTGAAAATCTCACCAATAGTAGAGAAACACTGTCAGATATTGTGCCAGAAAATGAGGTCTTCAGGTTGGAAAGCACTCAATATGCCACTGGGGAAGAACTCCCTCCTCAAAGTAGAGTTGATTGTGATGATGTGAATGGAGTAGAGCCCATTGGAGAAAAGCCCTCGGGACCTTCATTTACTGATGGAGCACAACTCAAAATTAAGAGAAGAAATAGATGAATCTACAATAACGGTGGGTGATTTCAATACACCGCTTTCAAAAATGGATAGAACAACCAGAAAGAAACTTGACAAAGTCACAGAAGAACTAAACAACACAATCAGCCAACTGGACCTCATAGATGTGTACAGAGCATTCAACTCAATACACAT